TCTTTTTTTGTTTTTCACTTTTCTTTCCCACCAAACAAACACCGATTCCATGTCTTTAAATACGCGTTGGTTCGTGTTCGTTGGTTCAATGGCGTAATAAAAACTCCGCGTGAAAACCAAAACACGGTTGTTTATTTGTTGGCTTTCGCTGGCAATCCAAATCATCTAGAAATTGCCCGTCCCGATCCTCATTTTAATTCTTTTTTATTTCCCAATTCAACTCCATGCCTCACAATTTTTTCCTATTTTGGAATTATATAATTATTTTTAACAGTTCACTAAATTTATCTCTTCTTTTCCTTTCTTTTTTTTTTCTTTTCAAACTACTTTATCTCCATCTCAGTAAATTCCATTTCTCTCAAATTAATTTTCTCTTTCTCAAAAACTCTCTATTTTAATATTTCCATTATATTTATTTCTCATTCCTCTAAAAAGAAAATTCTCCACCTACCTAAATTACTTACTCAATTTAACTCATCCAAATAACGTTTTATATATTTTTCTTTATTTTATTTTTTAAAATTCTATTTCACTTTAATTTTACATTTTAAGTGTTAGAATATAAAAAGGAAAAAATTTATAATCTCCCTTCCTTACAACTATAAAATAACTTTTTTCACTCATTTCCTACTATAATTTGAGTTTTATTTCTTTCTCTGCCTCTCTTTTTTTTTCCTTTTTTCTCACTCACATTCTTTTTATTTTAAATATTTATTGTATTATCCGCGTATCATGTTCCAATTTTTCAAAGCAATATTATTGGCTAGAGGTTTTGTTATTCTTCTTTATTTTTATCTCTCACCATTTTTTTTCAAGAGTATAGTAAATCTTGTTCCAATTTTTCATAACGGTATTATCTAGTCGCTTTGAATATTAGTGAGAGGTAAATATATATACATGATACATCAGTGAATATCATTCGTCCTACTTACATATTCAAAAGTTAAGTTTGATTATTAGAGAACAAAATTTATGGATATTATTCATTTTGGTCTTTTAAATAATATTGTAAATAGGAAAAAAAATGTAGCATAATTTTTTTTTCTAAAGGATAGTATTATTGAAACTAACAGGCCACATGCGCTACAATTTTCCTATTTAATTATGAGAATTTATTCATGTTTAACCCTATTTTAAGGTTTGGGTGACTATTTTCTTTTTCCTTTTTTTTTTTTTTACA